CGGCCAATTTGCCACAGCTGATAATTTTCCTGGGTCTGTGGCCACGCCATCTTCGGTAATCACATGACCAAGATAGTTTACCTCCGTGCGAAAGAAGCAGCATTTCTCGAACTTTACTTTCAGTTTCTCCTGTTGCAAGCGAGACAGCACGGCATCGAGGCGCTTTAAGTGCTCATCTACTGTGGAAGAGAAGACAATCACGTCATCCAGGTATAGTAACAGTGTCTGAAAATGCTGTGCACCAAAGATCCGTTCCATTAACCTTTGAAATGTACCAGGCGCATTACAGAGGCCGAAGGGCATGCGGTTAAACTCAAACAAGCCGAAAGGTGTACAAAAGGCTGTTTTTGCCCTATCTTTCTTTGCGACCGGTACCTGGTTGTAGCCGCTTGCCAAATCCATAGTTGAGAACCAACGTGCTCCTGCCAGGGCATCGAGGGACTCCTCTATCCGAGGTAAAGGAAAGGCATCCCTGCGTGTCTTGCTGTTGAGTTGACGATAATCCACACACATCCGTAGGCTTCCATCCTTCTTTTTGACGAGGACTATTGGGGACGCGTATGGACTGCAACTTTCTCGGATTATCTGGGTCTCTAAGAGCTGGTTGATATGATTTTTAACAGAATCGTAATCTGAGGGGGGGATTCTCCTAAACCTCTGTCGCACAGGCACATCATCTAGCAATGGGATTTCATGCTCTATAAGGTTAGTACATCCCAGATCCCCTTCAAATGCCGAAAAAACAGCATGATGTTTCTCAAACATGGACCGTATCCCAGCCTGCTCTGTCTCTGGAACATTGCTAAGATCAAGAGAAGCTAGTGTATCAGAGATGTTTTTCACCTGCCCCGTCTGAGAACTCATGGTCGCCAGGGTACCCATTCCTGCTGGCTTCCTGGGAACCTCGTTGATGCCTGTAGGTAAACTCACTATCTGGGCCTGGTTTAGCATCCCTAGGGCACAGCGGGGGTAAAGTTTAACATCAGTGTCACCAACATTCACAACTGGGATGTAAGCAGTACCATGATGCACTGTGACCATCGCAAGAGATACTAACAAACCACCAGGAAGAGCTTCTTGGTTGGCAAAAGGTTCAAACAAAGCCTGGAAAGGTGGAAGACACCTCTGCGGACAGGTCGCGGCCACCAATTTAACTGTCCCCCCGGGTATGTAGACTGGATGTTTCCCCCTCACCCTAGCAACTCCACTGGCACCTGTTGCAGGTCTGGCCCGGCTCTCGTGACACTTTTGGAAAGCTTTCTTCCATGCCTCAGGGGCCTCTTTCACAAGTGAGACATCAAAAAGAGGTGAGGCATGTTGCCCGAACAACTCTGCATAACATTCACGTAATACATTCATGCCTAAGACACCAGGAACGTCAGATTCGGGCAAAGAACCAGGAGGATCCTTAACCACTAGAATCCCCCTTTTGGGAATAACTGTACCCATTACAGAAACATCGAGCTCTACATACCCCACATATGGAATGCTAAGTCCATTAGCTGCTGTAAGTTGTAGCCACTGGCATGCCTGGGGAGAGTTGTCAAAATGCTGGTGGAAAAAGGACTCCTTAATTGTGGAGACCATTGACCCCGTATCCAGTAGACAGTCTACCTCAACCCCACCAATGACCACTGCAACATGTGGACAAGGACTAACAAGTTGAGAGAGACACGGTTCATCCACTGGATAACATGAACCTGTAATGGCCCCTTCTGAATCGTGGTTCTGCAAAACAGAGGGCATTAGTTTTCCGACTGCTGATTTTGAGCAGTTGCCCTTTGCATAGGATGCGCCTGGGGGCGCTGTTGCTGAAAAGGGACCCTTGCATTATCGCAATTACGAGCAAAATACCCTGGCTGCTGGCAGCGTCTACAGAGAACAGGGCCTGTATTCGAAGGCCGAGACCATTTGGAGGGGTTCTGTAATTGCAAGAGGTGGGTGGAAAGCTGGTTAATTTGTTCTTGTTGTGCTTTAAGCATCTCTTTTATCTCCGCCATTTCACTTTGAGATGAGGTACTCGTCTGCTCAGACACCCTTGAAAGGTGGGTAGCACAGATGGAGGGGACGGAAAAACTGCGGGGCCTACTTTCCAGCTGTCTACCTTCCCTCTCCCATCTGACTGCCTCCCCTCGCACATCCAAGAGGGTAACTAATGGCTTAGCACGTACAACCTGTTTTAAAGCTCTGCGGAGATCTGAATCATTAACATGTTCCACAAACTGATCTCTCAATAGAATGGCAGAGTTAGGTATAGCCTGAGGAGCATTCCTCATGATTTTTTCCATAAGCTCAAATAACGCATGAGAGTAGTCCTGCAACGACTCACCCTCTAGCTGTTTTCTGGAGAAGAAATCCTTCTGTAAAGCAACATAAGACAGTGAACATCCATAAACTTCCTGCAGTATAGTCAAAACCTTCTCTGGATCCTCACGATCTTGCTGGGGCCTATACTTGATCTCATCTTTGGCAGACCCCTCCAAATGATCGTAAATGAAATAGGCCTGATCTATGCGAGCTAAATGCCTGGCCCGCATGCTAGCACGGACCTCTTCGACCCATTCTACCACTCCTATACCCACATTCCCCCTAAACATGGGGCACTTCCTTTCTCTGGGGATGTAGAGTAGGCGTTCAGGCGCTGCCCCTGGGAGACCAGCAGATACAGAGGGGCCAGGGAGTTCAGAAGAGCCAGGAGTCAAGCTTGCTGGACGTGCTTGCGTTGCTGAAAGTTCTTGTGAAAGTTGTTCATTTTGAGCCCGGAGTTGAATCACCAAGTCCCGTAAGTCCAGCTGGCCTTCCTCCATTTCTATAGACTTGGGTGGTTTTGGCACCTGGGAGCCAACAGGGATACAGGTTCCTCTTCCTCTTTAAGAAGAACCTTTGGCCAACTGCTGTTTTTGCCCAAAAAGAAATAAATAGTCTGTCAGAAAAGTGAACTAGAAGGACACGTCTCTGCTCTAAAAAAAAACAAATAATAATAAAATAAAAAAAATAAAAAAGGGTCCTGCCAGCAACGCCAATTTGTAACCGGGGCGGCCGTTCGCCTGGTCACAAGGGTGACAACGTCACTTTGGGACTCTCACCCAAAGAATATCAGTTGTAATGAAAAAGAAAGGGAGCAGAGAGGTGAAGTTCCAGTTTTGTAACAATGTTTTTTTTATTTACAAGTAGGTTTAATATTTAAAAGAAAAGGAATAATCAATCCAGAAACATTGGTCGGTTTTATGGCAAAATATAATCTATGCTTTGAAAAAGGATTACTATACTGGGGTACCCTACCAGTACAAGGTGACTACTTGAGGCCCACCGGGGCGGGGGAGTGAAAGGGGACAAGGGGGCCACCACCCGGTCAAAGGAAAGAAAACACAGCAAATCAAAAAGAATTAAAATACAGCAAACAAACAAAATAAACTGAAAGGGCCTTCCACCTCGTGAGCCACCCCCTGTAGGCCTACTATATGCCCACCTGCACTGGCATTAAAGGGACCCCCAGTATAGGGCGCAGTAATGGTTGTTTATGTAGGACAAAACAAAGACACTAACCCAGAAAGAAAACAAATTAGCAATTCATAATCAAAGATACTATATAAACCGGGTAACCATAATCTATTTTAAATCAAAGGCAAAAACAGCAGTGACCAGGCTCAGCGTTGCACCACCTGATCATTTCCTGTATAAAAGAAAGAAAAGGTAAATAACGCCAATAAACATTTCACTGCTAAAAAGCATATTAAAACATGAAACAGAAAACCCCTGTCATACCTCTAGATTCCGCTCAAACCCATCCGCACGTGGCGAGTGCTGTGCCTATGCCGTGGGAGACCTACAGCAAGCCCCCCTCTAGCTCTAGTGGGGCAAAAGCTCCCATTTAAAGAGCACCTGGTCACACCTGTTAGGCATCACCAATTAAGGTGGTGTGGCCAAACAGGCATGGGGGGGAGGGGAGAGCTCTACCCATCACATAAGCATGGGAAAATCAAAACACAAATGAAGGAAATGAGTAATCGTAATTAAAGTAATATGCCGTAAATGGTTACATATTTCACAGCACACATCAGTGATATCACGTCATCAAGATTTAAGATAACACGTCATCAATCCTTCTGTCTGGCCTCTGTGTGACCTTTGTAGTTCGGTTCCTCTGATGTGTTTGACTGTAGCTTAGCACGCTACTTGCTGGCAGCTCCAACAGATGGTTGGTGTTCATCAGGTCCCACGACACGTTCGTTGGTAGCTTAGCACGCTACTTGTCGGCAGCTTCAATAGCTTCAATCACAGCGGTCTGGCTCATCAGGAGAACCTAGAACGGACCTGTGAATCGCCGCTGCTTCCAGTGCGTCCTCCTGAAGTCTTTTCTCACCACCCAGTCGCCAGGCTTGATGCGGTGTTCTAGCGTGTCAGCTGGTGTGGGCAGCGTGGCTTTTACCTGTGAATGGAGAGCTGGAAGAGAAGCCGAGAGGCCTACGCAGTAATTCAACATGCAGTCATTATAGAGTTTGGAGTCTCGAGAAGTAGCCCCTGGTCTAAGCCCTATGCTTCAACAGCACCTCTGCTTTGTGGGTGATAAGAGCGATGGTATTTGAGGTCATAACCAAGAAAATCAGACATTTCCTTCACAGCTTGGACGCATGAGTTTCGTGGGGATCCCCCACCGTGGAAGGATTTCTCTGAGAAGAAACTTGGCCACTGCACCTGCATCCTGTTTTGAGGAAGGACAACTTCAACACACTTGCTGAACCAACACCAAACAATATTTCTTTCCTTCACAAGTTGGGAGTTTTAAATCCTCTGATAAACCAATTGGCATTTATAGCTGTGTTCATCCCTCCCTGTTAGGGTCCCTATCTGTTTATCTGCCTCCCCGTCTGTGCTTTTGTTTTGTTGGTTTTTTTTTGTTGTTTTTTGTCAACCTAGAGTTTCCACCCCTGTGTTCTGCCTCCGGTCCCGCCCCTCTCTCAATAGCTCAGCTGTGGCTCCTTCCGGGGATCACCAGTGACGGGCATGAAGGCTCCTGAGTTCAGAGGCTCATCGTCAGTCTGTCCCAGTACCCAGGCTGGTCTCAGGTGCCGTTGAATGTCGCTATCAGACGTAGCTAACCAGTTTGCTTGTTTTTGCTTTTTGTCCTGCAGTGTCAGACCCGCGGAGTACCACGGAGTACACGTGACTCGTTTTAATCCAACTCTGGTTATGATGTCGGACCTCCGGTATCCACACTGGAATCCTGCCTTATCCCCCCAGGCCGCAAGACATCGGTGGAGAAGTTGTTCACGTCCCAGGTTGTATGGGAAATAAAATCATTGGCTACAAATCAAACTGCTGTGCGTGTGTATTTGGGTCCACCAACTACACCCCCTAACACTCCCTTGCCCACGGGTCTGTTCCATGTGCTAGCTTAGCATGAAATGGAAAGGCAGCCTGTGGGAAACACTGCTTTGAATCAGGCAAACCAATTTTTTTTTCAAAAATGTGGCTCCAGCTTTTGCCCACAGCGCCTTCTGTGCAGAAGTAACTAGTGGTTGGATGGTGGGGACCTACTGAGATGAGCATCACATTTCATCACCTTCCTGGCAACATTATAGCATTCAAAAGATCTGAAATAAGGTGATGATTAGCTACAGGTTTCCAGAGGAGGTGAGGAAACCTCTGAGTCGCCAAATGGCACCAAAGTCATGGACCACTCCAAACGCATAACGAGAGTTTGTATGGATGTTGGTGTTTCTGCCCTCGGCGTGTTTAAATGCCTCGTGAGTGCTATTGACTCTGCAGCTTGTGCTGAAAAATTAGATGGTGATCCTACAATAGCATGTTGGGTGACAACAGCAAAACCTGTTTGATTGTTGCCCGTCTTATTTCTTGATGCAGAACCATTCACAAACAACTCAAGGTCAGCGTTTGGGAGAGGTGTGTCTGAGAGATCAACCCTTGGCAAACACTCCTCACCCAGAATCTGCACACAGTCATGAAAAGTTTCTGTGTTATCGACATCTTTCTGTGTCGGGAGAAGAGAAGCAGGATTTAGACTGGAACAGCGTCAACTGTGACGTTGGGCATTTTCAACAATGTGGTGTGACATCTCAACCACCGCTGCGCTGACAAGTGAGATGTCTTTTGTGTGTGTAGAATGTGAGCTAAAGCATGCGGAACCATGAGGTCGGAATATCCTACTAAATCTCTAGAGGCTGTAACTGCCTTCTCTGCAGCTGCTACAGCTCTGAGGCAGAGGGGCAGGCCTGCTGCTACTGGATCCAGTTTTGTAGAAGAAAAAAAAGCAACAGGTCTGCGTTTATCCCCATGTTTCTGACACAGGACAGAGGTCGCGTATCCACCCCTTTGGTCGACAAATTGGACCAATGGATTGTTTGGATTTGGTAAGCCAAGAGTATTCTCAATACTACGGTTCAATTCTACAAAGGCCTTCGTTGCTTCTGGGGTCCAGGTTATTTTGCATCGAGCTGTCAATTGTTTGCCATGGACAGTTCTAAATAGTTAAGGATCCACTGTCTGCAGTATGACGTCATTCCTAGGAAACACTTGTTTTCTTGTTTTTGGCGTTTTGGAGAGGGAATTGCCCGCTGCTGTGATCAGATGTCCCAGATACGTTATTTTTGTCTGGACAAGTTGAAGTTTAGAGCTGGCTTTGTGACCATTGTTAGCCAAAAAAGGTCAAAAGTGCAACTGTGTCTTGTTTTGCATGCTTCTTCTGAGGGCCTAGCCACCATGAGGTCATCCACATGTCGTCATCTAACCTGATAGGAAGTTAGTTTTGTAAATTTAGGCTCAGCTGCAGATGAAAGTTTGACATGAGTATCCTTGTGCACATCTTGCTCAGGTGTAGCTACGCCCCTGGAAGGTGAATGCCAACCAACATTCACACTCAGGATGGACGGGCATGGAGAAAAATGCATTAGCCAAATCAACTACTGGACAAAATGGTATGTGGACTAGAAACCTCAAATCATCACGTGGGACAAGTTTTGGAACGTGTCTCTGCCTCGTCCTTGCCTCCGTCCCCGCGCCCTTTTGCCATTGCGTTGTATATGGTCAGCTGGCCGTCGTCCAGTCTCTCCTGTTTCCTTGTCCTTCTTAGTGCGTCATGACCATTTTGAACATCTTCCTCATGCTCAGCATAATGCATAATGTCCGGCAAGCTGCAGGACTTCCAGGAACGGCGACAGGCCTTTGCCAGTGGGGGGGGGTGCATTCTGCTTAAGAAAAGGCTGCGAGCGGAGAGCCTCCCATAACATTTGGGCGTTCCATACCAATGTGGCAACTGTTTTAGTCCATCCGTCCATCTTCAAAGCATTTTTCCTTCACACAGCGTTGCGGGGGGGGGGGGGGTGGGGGCTGGAATATCTTATGCAATTCTACATTGTCTCATCCCTCGTACACATAACATATTCTTTGAGTTGAAAATGGAATTTCCTAATGAATTTTATTGCAGAAAGTTGTACTTCACAAGTGACAGTACTGCAGTGTCTGACTAAACAACTTCCCCTGTTCTTAAGTTCTCAGAATGTATTGGGTGTTAGATACTCCCCACTTCTCCTTATTCATCTGTTAGAGCCACAAAGCTAAATAACGGTTTCTCACCTCACTCAGAGTAACAACACCAACTGAACATGTGGAAACATGACAAACAAGGAACTGCCACGGTGAGAGGCAGATACTTTTCATTTTGGTCGTCTTGTACTGAATAAAATGTTATCCTGAAGATGAATATTGATGCATTATTAACTGGACTCCTGTTCATGTGCATTCAAATTTATTTCAATAATTGTCTTGTTTTGTCATTTTAGAAACAACAGTTATGACATGAACTGTTCTGTAAGATTACCCCAAATATGAAACCATATTCTCTCCAGGCTTACAGGAGGATGTGCGCTTCTTTCCTATTTACGCATTAATTCATTATTCTTTAAGGTCCATCTTGTTAAAATGATGCTCTTGCTTCTACAAAGTGTAGATGTTGTGTGTTATTTTTTACTTTGAGTGAGAAAGTGGTGTTCATCAATAATCTGCATGCACCTGTGGACCAGGTGAGCTGATTTGTGTGTGTGTGTGTGTGTGTGTGTGGATAGATGTGTTTATTTTTATTTCTTATTTTTATTTCCTTATTTATTTTTCTTATTTTATTTTTGGGGAGGGAGGGGCATGTTGGGAGAAAGAAAGTGTCTGATTCAAACTCCGGGGCAGAAGGTGGCGATAATGCACCAATAAGATGGATGCCAACTAAAAACCCCAACCCGTGAACCAAAAAAAGGAGGAGGAGAGGCATTCAGCAGCTGGAGCAGCACTGAGTAGACGCACACAGCTGGATTTTATCAAAGGATTGTGAGCAGTGTCTTAAGAGTGTTAGGCAGAGGTAGGCTGTCGGCAGCAGCTGTATTCGCTTCCAGGTGGTCCGTCCAGTGCTCATTTAAGTGTTTTTTGTGTCCCAGAAGCTCACTGGTATGGCTGCATACTATTCTCCACCTGATGCACTCGATGTCCACCGCTGGTAACTCTCGTGGTATCGTTGATCCCTCTGACCCACGCTGATTGTCCGAAACGGCCTGACCGGGCAAAGGATCATTGAGCAGCAGCACTACACCAGCCAACCTGCCAGAGACCACTGCTGCTTTGCCTTTGGCTAAATTCACCCTGTTTGGGGTCTGCTTTGTAGTGATAGCAAAGTGAAGCTTTCCAGCCAATTGTATCGGAAAAAGGTTCATTGATTCAGTGCATCACAAACTATGATGACCTCTGCTGTTGAAAACCTATAGTGCATATGTATCAAATAGCCTACCAGTATATTTTGACCCAGTCTCTGTGGGTTGAACATGATTATGAAAAGTTGAACCAATAAACCATTTAATAAATACATGGATTCCTATATACAATTTAAAATACCAGTGCTTCCTACTGCATGTGCAGTTCATAGCAGTCATAGGGACTTATGTGAATTGTTTGAATGTGGGAAGTGATTGTGCTTTTGGACAGGTTTATTATGACAGGATATTGTGGTGCTTGTGGACACATGGGATGGGGCATGAAATTATTGATTTTTATTGAGAAACACAATTTTCTTCACAGTATTGGGGTTGAGGCGGTTTCTTTTTGTAGATACTATTTCCCCTGCCTTAGAAAAAAGGCGCTCACACGGCACGGATGAGGCAGGAATGCTCAAATGATTGCGTGCTAATACAAATAGATGTGGGTACACATGTTTGTCCCAATATTTTAGCGGGTCTTCACTCCGTGGAATGTTTGATTCAGCCAAATATCTGGTGGTCTCCACAATAAAAATAAACATAATTACATAATTACACAATACAAATGACAGACTTTGCCTGCCTATTGCCAACCTTGTTAGAGGAAATCAAATTGGAGTTCTCCCACATCTCGGAGCGACCTCTCTGCCACAGGTTCCATTGTAAATTTGCTCTTTGCTACTACTACTACAACAACACTGACTTTGACTGTATCAAACCGACAAGCCCGAATCCTGTTTCGAGCCCATTTGAATCAAATTCAAGCGGTCACGTGACTGTGCGCCGGAATGAAAATTCGGACGTCACTGATCACGTGATCAGCAGTGAACGAACCGAGCACCGATACATTTGCTTTGCCCTGCACTGGTTCATATTTCGACACAAGCTTCGAAGCAGGAGGGTCGGAGGTAACAACAATACTGCTTTGGCTTTGGGGTCTGCTTTGGCTAAATTCACCCTATTTGGGGTCTGCTTTGGCTTTGGGGTCTGCTTTGGCCAAGTTCACCCTGGTTTGGGGTCTGCTTTTTTTTGGCCTCCCCACATTGCTAATTTTTGCGTGTTTCGCTGTGGGCCTCCTAACTGGGTCAAGACATATTTTAACTGTGTACAAGAGACAGGCCGTACTTATTAGTTATTTTCCTTATTTGTGATTTTGTTAAGCTTTGGTTAAGCCGTTTGTCGATATTTTACCAGTATAGTTTTTGCGTAAATGTAATTATTTTCTCTTTTCTTTCTGTTTCGGCTTAGTTTTTTAGTGCAAAGTGCAAATCAACATGTAGCCTCATAAGCTTATAATCACATTCATTTGAATAATGCTTCAGCAGTCAATATTTTGACATCACAGAGCCAGCAGTTGCTCTTCATATCTTCTTCATGCGATCAACACGTGATCGTCTCACGCGCACATCCGCAGCGGCGTGTAGAACCGACTCCTCCGCTGTGGTGGAAGGTTTCTTGTGCCACACGTCTGGCTACGAGGTGACTGGCTTTCAGGTCGGATTCAGAGTTGCGAGTCAGTCGGATGACCAACCTTTTCTGCATCTGTAGCCCATTTTCCTTTCTTTTAAAAAAATCCGCCGGCTGTTTGGTTTCCATATGCCGCTTTAATTTCGACGGCTTCGGTGCTTCGTTGTTGGTCCAAACTCCACACTGGGCTCTCTCCTTATTACCTCCGTTTATACATCCGTACTTAATGAAGTCAGGATTGTATTGTTGGGCACCACCTTCCTCTTCATTTTTTATTTTAAATTTCTAATGACTTTCACTTACAGACCAGCTTGGCGGCTGTCGGTCTTTTTTCTGCTTATTGGAGCTGTTTAAACAACTGACGGACGGATTACCGCCACCAAGTGGTGGGAAGCAAAAGAGCGTCTCATGGATAAATAACGTCAATATCTCCGGTCTCTTCAATTTGTACCCTATGGTTAAGAATCACTGAAAATATACAATATGTTTGATTCATAATAGAGAAATTATTCTGCTATTCAACCACACAAACTATGATTTTACCACTGGTCCTGATCACACTATCACACCTGTATGTCAAGTGTCTCCACGTTTGTTTTCGTGACTTCCTGTTTTATTTTGGAAATTAACTCTCGTTTCAGGTTCCTTGCTCTTCCTGATGTGTCACCAGACTGATTGTCTTCCCTGATTCCTGATTGTGTCCACCTGTTCCCGCTTCCCCCATGTGTTGATATAGTCTGCGTCTCCCTTTGTCTTGTGCCAGTGTGTCGTCCTACGTCGTCATACCAGCCAGTGTCCAAGATCCATAGTCATAGTTTCTCTAGTCTCGTGACCACAGTTTTACCTCGTTCGAGTGATTTTTCTTTGTAGCTCTTTTTTGTTCCAGCGTCAGGTCTCAGTTAGGTTTAGATAAGTAGCTTTGTTTTCCTCCTTTTGGAGTGACCTTATTTTTGGATCTATTAGTACTCTGTATGAATAAACTGTCCTCCTATACACCTGCTCTGAGTCCCGCTCGGTTCTGACGCACACATGTTATAGTTTCAAACGCTATAGGCGTGCTTTTCTGCTTGAATTAAACGTGCATCAAATGTGTTCAATGATTGACTTTGTAGGAGTCCCTCTGGAGTCTTTCTATTGGCAAGTCTTTATTGGAGCTTCTATGAGGTCTGAAGCCACGGCGGCTGCTGAGCATCACCTGACCTTCTACTGCTAAAGCCCCTTCTTCATTCTCCAGGCAAGGTGATCATGCACGACCCCTTCGCCATGCGGCCGTTCTTCGGTTACAACTTCGGCGACTACCTCGCTCACTGGCTGAGCATGCAGACCCGGAAGGCCCCCACTCACCTGCCCAAGATCTTCCACGTAAATTGGTTCAGGAACCCGGCGAGCGGCGCCTTCCTGTGGCCCGGGTTCGGCGAGAACGCGCGCGCCCTGGAGTGGATCTTCAAGCGCTGCGGCCGGGAGAGGGAGGAGGAGGCGGCCAAGAGGAGCATCATCGGCTGGCTGCCAGAGGATGGCGCCATCGACACCAAAGGTCTGGGCAGCGATGTGGATATGGGGGCCCTGTTCGACGTGCCCAGGTCTTTCTGGCAGAAGGAGACGAAGGAGTTGAGAGCCTACTTCTCCCAGCAAGTTGGAGCCGATCTACCTGCTCAGGTGGAGGCGGAGCTTAAGGCGCTGGAGGAGCGAGTGCACAAGTAGAAGCCGGAAACAGGCCGGTGGTCGCTGAAGACTCAGGATGCAGATTGTTAAGGTGCACTCAGAAGTCACTGGTTAGGTTTACACACACACACACACACACACACACACAGCTAGATCCCTAATCACACTTATGGTTTTA